TGATAACCACCACCTAATTACGAGAAACAATCTGTCAAACCCAAATGGAGGGACATTTAAAAAACCTGGCTTGTATTATTTAAAAAGATCAATTTCATGAAAAGACAAAGGCTGAGAAACTTTAGAATTGAGAGAAAAATGCTATGAAGGATGGCAATGAGATAATTTGGTAAAATTTGAATTGTTATGTATCGGAGAATAGTAATGTTATCAAATTCCCCGAATTTGATTGTCCTGTGGTTACATAAAATATAATTTTCCTAGGAGATGCACTGTGTACACAGAAAGGTACAGTGCGAAAAAGCAGAAATGCTAGCACTGGGTGAATCCAGGTGAAAGCCTCCATGGGAGTTCACTACACTCATCTTTCTTGAATGATTGAATGTTTTTTTTAAGTTAAAAAGAAAATGGGAGCTTTAAAACAAACTCGGTATATTTTCTTGAAAAAAAGATAAATCTAAATGCTTGATCTTGTATACCTTAAGTGTTGGCCTTCAAATCACCTAAGCAGCAAAAATTTGGCCTATATTTTAATAAAAATAAAGAGAAGCTTGCAACCACATTTATTAGAAAAATATTATCCCTTGGAAGTTCCCTTCTTTCAAGGTCAAAGACTTGCTCCAGGGTGCTGTTCTGTTTTTATCAAATTCTGCCCCTCGTGGCAAGAACCCCAGCTCCCTGGGTGTGCTGAGGCCGATGCATGACACGTTCAACCTCCAACCCAACGTGACCCCCGCAGGAGCCACGGAGCAGCGCACAGAAGCTGGGCGTATTCTTCCCATGCAGACACCTCTGGAGCCAGCACGGCTGGGGAAAGGAGACACCCTAAGTCACTAGCAGCTGTGGCAGCCACCTAGTTCCTGTGGACCTTGCATTTCACCTTTGCTTCACAAATTTCCTTCTGGAAGCATTGGGATTTAACCGTCTCCTCCCGGCTCCCAAGGTGTTGTCTCGGATCTGCAGGGTAGCTGACCGGCTGGAGATGTCATTCTCTGCAAAGGGAGATACCCCAGCTACGTAGTCAGGAGCGAACACATCAGTCTTCTGCCTGGCCTTGCGTGAGAGTCGCAGCTGTGGGAAGCGCTGGTCCTCGGTCAGATGGGGGTTGATGGCGTATTTGCCCCCTTTGGGAGAAGGAAGTGAATACTGCAAAGAAGACGAAGAAAGGCCATTAGAAGGATGGCGATCCATTTCCACATGTCAGATCCTGTTAACATCAAGCTTTCCTGATGGCTCTGGATGCAGATGACATCAGTGGGGTCTACCATTCACTGCCTACTATGCACTAGGCCTATGACATGCAGCCTTCCCACTTGATCTTCACCTCGACTCCCAGATGGAGAACCCGATGCAGCACTTTGACTACGTACCCTCAGCTAAAGACAGAAAAAATGACATATGAACACAGAACTCTAGTAAGCAGATGCCATTTTCACAATGGTATGTTAGCAATTCTGAAGCAGTAACATTTACTAGGATTAAGCAAATAAATAATTATGGAAAATGGTGTTAAATAGGGTGTTATAAATGAGGGCTAGAATGACCTCTGTGGTATTGGGCTGAAACTGAAGTTATAAATTCAGTGTTTAATACAGATATAGAAATACAGAATATTCATGTATGTATTTATATATACAAATACATATATTTCCCATCTCTGTCCATTGCCGGCTGACAGCCTAGCACAATGAGCGTACTTCGCTTCTTAAAACCATTCTCCAAAAGACGACCCAGAGATGCTCACAGAAATGGCCGCTTCTAGGGTGGGGGCAGTATGAGTCAGAACATCCTGTTGTGGGAGAGTAAGGAAGTTCAAAGAATAATTGAGACACGTCAAAAGGACACAGAGGCCAGCATGAAGAGCTTCCATGAATAGTCTGAGTAAATCAATAATGATGGTATTGGATCACAGCCTACAGACTAAAATAAAAATCCACAAGACTTCACTCATATAGAAAAATACATAAAGAGGGAAAATTCCTTGTTACAGCAGAATGCCAAGTAATGAATACAAACAGAATGATGGAATTAGAAAATCACTGTTTGGCAACCATCGTTGTAAAAACTCATTCAGGTAACTTTAACTATGAATTAAACTTTAATGAGAAATACTGTTTACACAGTATTAGAGTATCTTTCCATTAAGTTACTTATTACAAATAATGACTTTACAGGAAATTTGTGGCAAAGTTTGAATATGGTCTGTAGATCAGAGAGTATTATAGCAATGTTAATTTCTTGGTTTAGTAATTATACTGTGGTTACATAAGAAATCCCCTTAACCAAGTGATCAGTTACTATCACCAGTAAACTGGACAACTGATTACCATTTAACCCCCGACACAATGCACTAAGGACACATCATCCCCTCTGGCGTTCCTGCCTACAATGCACAGCCTGACACTAACCAGGAGGAAATACTGGACAAACCTCAGGTGAGGGACATTCTACAAAGTAACTCACCTCAAAAATGATAAGGTCATGAACGGTAAGACTTGAGAAACCACTTCAGTTTAAAAGAGACTAAAGAGACATGACAATGCAATGTGTGATCTTAGATTGGATCGTAGACCAAAAAACTCTCCTCCTTTTGCTATGAAGGAAATTTGTGGTAAAGTCTGAATATGGTCCATAGATTAGATGGTGGTATTGTAGCAATGTTAATTTCTTTAATTGTGATAATTACGTTGTGGTTATGTAAGATAATGTCCTCGTTTCAGGAAATACTAAAGTATCTCAAGGCAAAGCATACAATAAAAAAAATACACACACACAGTCCCCCCCTTAACCATTGGGAGATATGTTCTAAGACCCACAGTAGAAGGCTGAAATTGTAAATACTGAGACCCATACGTATGTACCTGTGATAAAGTTTAATTTATAAATTTGGCACCGTAAGAGATGAACAATAACTAAGAACTATAACAATATACTGTAAGTTATGTAAATGTGGTCTCTCTCAAAGTATCTTACTGTACTGTGCTCACCCGTCGTGATGAGGATGTGAGATGAGACAACGCCTACGTGATGTGATGAAGTGGGGTGAATGACAATTGTGAGGTGGTGTCAGGTTACTGTAAGGGGTCCTTGAACACAAACACCGCGATACTGCAACAGCCAATCTGATAACCGAGCCGCCGACTAAGGGGCAGGGAGCAAAGACAGCATGAGATTTCATGGCACCATGGACAATGGTGCACAATTTACGTATTGTTTATTTCTGGGATTTTCCATTTAATATTTTCAGGCTGCAGTGGGCTGTGGCAAACAAACTGGAGTAAACAAAACAGTAGCAAAGGGGGGATCTACTATATATAAAAGAATAAAGCAATGTGGTAGCAGATTAACATAGGGAAGTGAAGGGTAGACAGGAATTTTTGCATTTTTGTAACTTCCCTATAAATCTAAAATTATTTCAAAATACAAAGTTAAAAAAAAATTCACCTTGTACATTAGTGGCAGTCACCACACTTGGAGAACTCAGTGCCAGGTTGGCTACACTCTCATGCTCATTTGTCTTTTAACCCTTCTCTCCTGAGTCTTTGAAACAAATACACAGCTGCTAGTACCCAGCCCAGGCCTCTCTTTTGTGCGGAGCATTTACACACCCCTTCCCTTCTGGTTCACGAAGCTTCTGGAGATTCTGCCCATCCTCAAACTCTGGCACAAATCTAACCTCCACCATACTGTAAACGATCTCCCTTTTTTTGTGACCCCCCATGCATTTGGCCCTTATTATTCACTGGAATTACCGGTTATTTCTCATTAGATTACAAACTCCTCAAAAATCTCATGCGGAAGCTCTGTTGTGCACGCACCTCCATCTCTCTTGGTACCTAGATTACAGGCTTTCAGTAACTATCTTGAAAAAACCATGAGATATTGTTTTGTCCTCTGGTCATTTCAATCCTCGAGCTAAGAGGTCTCGCTTTCCCACCTCAGGCCCTACTGTTAGGGGAGTGGGAGACACACCACTCACCCGGAGGCCCCGAGGGTTCAGCACCTTCGGGTTGCGGGAGAAGTGCATGTGCAGGCTTCCGTCATCGCTGACAGTCACAGACACTTTCTTTAAGGTCTTGTTTCCACAATGTGAACAGAACACTCGGCTCATGTCAGATGTTGTCCTGGAGACACGAAAGGAGAGGCTCTGACCGGAGCCACAAGCAGCAAGCCCCGTCCCCAGAGCACAAGGTGAATCACAGGATTCCGGGGGAATGACAAGAAACAGGGAAACGGCTGAACCATACTGTATGTGTCATAAACCAAGGCCACCCGGCCTCATGGGGACGGCATGAGCAAACTGTGGCTGCAGTTCTCTGAGGGCAAAGGGAAATGACCTCAGTAGCAAGTATGTCAATATGAAAGTTGTTGTTACATTAATAATGAACTCTTACTGAACTTTGTGGGCATTATTTTACAAGTTTATCAAAACAATCCTATGAGACTGGTACTATCTCCATTTTACAAATGGGGATACTGAGGCAAGGTAAGGTAGCTTGCTTGATTTACAAGAATTATAAATTATTATACAATAATTTGTATTATTGACAAATCACAAAAATACTACAAAGCTGTTATGGTTGAATGGGTGTGGGTGCTAAGGGCAGACCCCGAGGCCTTGCCTCTCTCCTACCAGCTCAGGCCCAATTGTGGACCTTCCACTTGTGTACTATTTAAATGCAAATCTCAGGCATCACTCCATCCATACACATTTCAGTACTTATCGTTAAATGATTAGAGTTTTTTGCTTCAGATCCCACACACTAAAGCCTATGCCACTAAAATAAGAACTACAAAACATCACCCTTGATTTGTCAGGTGAGAGCTCACTGGCCACCCTCTGTCCCAGGCATTCCAGTGCCCTGGTGGGATAAGGTGTAAAGAAAGGCAAGGCTCTCCTTCAAAAAGTTTACAGAAGGCAGGAAAACAGGAGCATGTTCAGCAGAGGGCACTGGGTCCAAATTATCAGCTACGTACTTGAAACAGCCATGGCAGCGCAAGATGTAGCTCCGGGCCTCACGGATCAGCATACCATTCACTGCCAGCACATGCAGCCCCATCTGAAGCAGGACATTCTGCAACCAACAAGTTAAAGCAGAACTGAACTCGGAGCAAAACTCCATTTTCTTTTAATATCTGTATAATTATAATTAAAAGACTTCACGAACACTGGTTGGGCTCATAAAAGGCTTCTGCTAGGAAAAGCAAGCTTAGGATACCTCTCAGGACACAAACTAAGACAAAGACCCTGATTTCTCTTAACTCAAGTGCTGGGGTGTGTGCTCATCATTTTGCCAAGACCCCTCATTAGCAATCTTTCTAAAAGGAACAGTTATTTTGTCAGAGTAAACATACTCATTTGTGAGCTGGAAACCTCCTCTACTTTCTCCGAGTACTTAATTGAGCACAGAATACTATACGCACTGAAAGAAATGCATCAACACATCATGAATAGTAAACATTAAAAATTTAACATACTATATACATTTTGTCACTATATTATTATTCTCTAGCCTCCAAACAAACTAAAAATTACCAAAGAATACAGGTAAAGCTTCTCGACCCATTACACAATAGCTCTGTACACACCGCCAAATCTTCGAGGACCAATGCCCATGACAGGTATGAGACAAAGCGCGGGACTAGCCGATGGCCCATTCCACCCCACCCACCTGCATGGCAAAGTCTGTAGTCACACAGCCGACCCGCACGTCCTTTGGGATGGTGCACTGTTCTAACTCCCGCTGGATCTGTTTGATGTTGCTAGGAGTTATCCACCCCCCATCGTCATCACTACCTTCATCCTTCCTTTCTTCAAATCTGTTCTCTTCCTTGTCTTCCTCACTCGGAACATTCTCACTTCTGCCAGTCTGAAACATAATAGAATTCACAAACTCCCAACCCATAGGAGTGGCAGGGAGAAGCTAGTGTGTTGTCATCAGGAGATCACAAATCAGGGCCTTACCATCAGCTCCTGCAGATCATAGTCAATATTTGGCAAAGGATTTCTCCAGAACATGAAGGAACTGAATTCTAGGTCCTCAGGCTCATTGGCTGGGTGTCCATGTTCTACTGTTTCTCGTGGGAGTTTAGGCTGAGGTGAAAAGAACAATTTTAAAACCTAAAAATTGAGAGGGTTACGGACGAAATAATATATGACACACAAGTCAGATGAGACAGGGCCGGACGAATGATGACGTTAGCCTATGTAAATTCGGTTCACTGTAAACAGTCAATTTGTGGAGGTATGATTTGTGGCAGAAAGGGCACAACGAGAATGGCTGATCTAAGGAATTACCTTCGAGGGCAGATGGAAACCAGAAATGTGTAGAGGAGTTTCTGGGTGCTGAATTGATGAGCTCACTTTAACCTTTAAAAATAAAAAAGTGACAGCTCTAAGAAGTATAGCTTGAAAATTCAACACGAAAGAGTAATTAAAAAAATATCTAATTTCTGCCTAAAAGGCTACAGGAAAAGACAATTTCTAAGAATCAGGAAAACAAAATATTTTCCCCCAGTTACTGAAATAAAATGTTTTTAAAACCGGAAAATATAAATACATACAGTCACGTGCCACTTAACAACAGGGGTATGTTGAGAAATATGTCATCAGGCAATTTCCTCGTGCAAACATCATAGAGTGCACTTACACACCTAGACAGTCTGGCCTACGACACACTAGGCTGTATGGTATGTATTGTACATGCGGTCCGTTGTTGGCTGAAATGTCGTTATGTGGCGCACGACTGTATAGAGAATTATTCAGTGATTACACCTCCAAGTAACTACTTTGAGACATTTCTTATTTTGTTTTCACACATAAAGCTATAATGAACACCATCTATAAAACCTGGAAATATCTTTGGTTACATCCTTAGAATAAATGCCTACCAGCGGAATTGCTGGGTGAAAAAGACATGCTGTTTTAAAGCTTCTGATACCTACTAATTCCTGCCCAAAAGGCTTCTAGAAAAGACAATTTCTAAGACTCAGCAATCAATGGATGCCAAATGGAAACCCGACTACCAGTCAGTTTACATACAACTATTCCATCCAAACCTGGCCCCCCCGCCCCCCGCAAAAACATTCCAGTGACACGCAGAAGGCTATGTTTTGGTCATTACTTTTAGATGTTCTGGATGGGAGGGCTCTAAACCTAGCTGAAAACAAGTTGAGGGCAGTTCCAATGAGTATAGGAATATGAGTCCACCATGGTTTTGATGACTTCAGGCAGAGGAGATGATGCAATTCTTTGCCAACACTATTTAAAATTATTATAAGGTTAATTATTTGGCTTCCAAACTCCTCTGGCCTTGAAACACCCAGTGGGGCCCAGGCGTGAATCCATTAAATCTCTTCACCCTAGCCGACGTGGGCGAGTCCCTAAAAGAATAGGAACCCAGAATTCTGAAGGTAGCACATGTTAAAAAAATGGCAAGCATTCATGTTTTTTCTTGTTTCTGAAAATAATTCTATTAAAAAAAATAGTGAGAAGATAGTTGAGTTTTACTCTATTTCTGCATTTTCATATTTTAACCAACCTTTCCAAGAATCTACAGATCAAGAGACTGGCACACATTTGCTAATCATAACATATGACCCTTATTTGGACCTTGATCCAAATAAACTGTCTTTAAAAATTCATAAAATAATTGAGAAAGGTGAGTACTAACTGGTTATTTTATAATATTAGGAAATTATTAATGTTGTATAGTGCAATAGTGGTTTTGTGGTTTTTTTTTTTTAAATGAGACATCAAGAAATATCGATCAGTGAAATACAATGTCTGAGTTCAAAATACTCCAGGCCAAGGTCAGAGATGATACCCTGGGTGTGCCAGGCCCAAGTCAGGGAGGGGGAATTAAAGAGGGGGAAAAGAAAAAAAGCTAGGGGAAAAAATAATAAAACAGTCCTGATGTACCTTTTCCGGTTCTTGTTTTAGGTGTGACACTCCAACAAACTCTGCTTCCAGCTGGTAGGTAAGTGCCAGTACTTGGATATCTGTGGCAGAGAGGCTGGGATAGTCTCCAGTTTTTTTTGAAAACTCAGTCACTGTAGACAAAACATTCCCAACCTCAGTTAGAAGCAAAAAGCCATACAACCTTAGATATTAATGAAAGCATGAAAAGAACTTAGGATCAATATCCCAATAAAAACCTCTTTAACACTATCATCTACTTCCTGATCCTTTTCTAATCACAGTTGAGAAATTTGTATTCTCTATCACAAAGATTTATGCCAGTTAGGTTTACTGTGACATCTTCATTGAGTGCGATGAAGGAACATAACAAATTCCACAGAAAGTCAAAGTTACCATAATATTTGCAAATAATAAGTTCATTATCTAGCTTTGGGATGTCAGAATAGGTTTCCTCTCCCAGTTCTAAAATTTTTTGCTTCTAACAATCCAGATTAATAAAACATATGACCAGATTCCAAAATGGGATGGAAAGTTAATCCAACTAGTAACTGTTGTAGTCTGTAACAGAACAAATTATCGGCTGCTTTGTAACAAATATCTAACAGTTCTTATGCATTAAAAAACAAACAAACCACACACACTGTTTAACATATAGCAAATGCCAGCTATTACTACTGTTATTCTCCTGAGACATCAACAACAAACATGTACAATGAAATTTTCTGATACACTGCCACATGGAAAGGTAACTAAACTGCTCACATATCCTAAGAAGCAGTAACAGCAGCTATGCTACTGGGCAGTTACTATGTACCCGGCACTATGTTATAAATCCTATGGATTAAGTACTATTAGTATTTCCTCAGAAAGATTAAGTAACTTGTAAAAGATCACAGAGCTAATAAGTTGGTGGAGAAAGCTGCAGAAATCACAAACTGTGGAGCTAACAACACCCCCACTATCAGTCTCTAAACCCTAAAAACGCTTCCAATCACCTAGAATCTTTCTTGGGCAGCATCACCTTGATCTCCAACAAGAGAACGATGCTGACTTGTAAACCAAGTGATAATTTAGTTTTCTTTCAGAACTACTGTAAAGCCTGTGGACAAAAAAGGGTTCTATGGAAAGTGACCTCACAGGGTGATCTGATCATAAATTCCTAACTAGGCGGATCATGGTGAGTAGTCATGTCCCAAGCCTGTAACTTCTTTAGTAAAAGGTTTACCTTAAGAGCAAGGTCTGTCCATTGTTTCTATGCATCTAAGTTAACATACCTTTGAAATAAGCTGTAACCATCCTTAGGACAACACAAGCACATAATTCTGTTTACTATCCTGTGATCCAATACCCACCTTGCCTTTTCTTACCTCCATGTAATCGTCCTTGTTTCTTCCTTAATTTCAAATGTATAAAAGGTGCAAAACTATTATTCTCCAGAGCATTTGAGATATTGCTCATGGTATAAGTCATCAGTTTGGCTCAAATAAACTCTTATAAAATTCTCCACAGGTTTGAATGTTTCTTATGTCAACAAGCCAAAAAGGTATCCCTTTTTCTGACTTGAAGCTGGCCTATGGAGCTCCAAAACAATTATTACTTTGGTCTACTAAAAACAAATAAAGGAAAGCTGGAGAGACCTAGGTTCTTCTATTTTTTAATCCAAACAAGCTTACTGAATGCTTGCAAAATGCTAGACACTATGCTGAGAAACAAAGTCCTCGTTTGATGTTCTCAGCAACCTCTGAGGTAGGTACTATTATTACTTTCATTTTACAGATGAGGCAACTGAGGCCTAGAGAGTGATATACCCAAAAGTATATAGCTAGTAACCGGCAAGACCTATTGACTCCTGACCCGAGGCTCCTCCCATCCCGATCTCCTCGAACATGCAGTTTCTAATTCAGTTGCTAATAAAGTAGCCAGATCCCAACTCGCACAGGAGCCGGTCCCATCTGCACCCTGGGACCCAGCTTCGCCATCAATACCAAGGCAGAGGTCCTCACCCAGCCGCACGTATTCCGGGAAGGGCTCCTTGAAACGCAGCTCGTAGGGCAGAACAGCGAGTCGCCTACGAGTGGCCTTGTCCCGAATCTCGCTGACCACATCCCGGATGGTGTAGATGTTCTTCCCGATGTCCTGCAGAGAGACCGGCCCGGCTCACACCCGCCCGACCTCCCGCGCTCCCGCAGGGCCCGCCAGCCCAGACCCTGCTCATCTCCACCAGAGCTCCCAGTACCTGTAGAGCGGCGTCCCGCAGGAAAGCACCGGCATCCGCAACAACGTGCTCCACCAGCGCCATCTTGGCTGAACGAGGCCGGAGCACGCATGCGCACGGAGCTTGCGCTCGCCCTTACGACCCAACCCGGCCTTTTGAAGCCGGGAGGAGCACCCGCGATTTAGCTACGCCCTCTGGCGGCCGCACCCGCATCTCCCGGCTCAGGGCTACGCGCGCGCATGCGCAACGCCTCCGGCAGCCCTCCCAGAGGATGGGGGCAAGGTAAAACCTTGGAGACCTGAGGAAATATGCTTCAGCATCCACTCTTTAGCGCCTTTTTTTTACTTTAAATGTAAAACCTGTGTATATTCTTATTGTTAAAAGTTAATACGGATAACCTAATTTAATGAGCACAGGCCTATGAGATCGGTTCTATTTTACAGTCAAGGAATAGGCTACTCAAGATGACTATGCCAAGCTATCATGGCTAGTAACTGTAACATGATTAACACTCAGGCAAACTGACTCGGAACCACTTTTTTTTTTTTTTTTTTTTTTTTAAATCCATTATGCTATACCGACTGCTGCTTACGTATCCCCACTTCATTTTGAGTGACTTGCGGCAAACGGTCTATGACATTTACCTTAGTATTCTTGACCGATTTCCCTAAGCAAGACACAATCTACTAGCAAATATACCTTGCTGAACTGAAGGGGTACTAGTTGATTTCTGAATTCCCTTTCAAATCTAAGATTCTATCATTATGAGATCTGGCCTATTCATGCTGGTGAATTTCAGCTGAATGTTGACTTGAGTTTTCAGTCATCAATCTTCAGCAATGTCGAGTTATTCCAAACCTTCCTTGTCAAGTCTTCATTCCAATCTAACCGCCCCCCCTCATTATAATTTATGTATCCTACTTCCAAAAGTCCTTCGGTGCCCTGTCCCTTCAGCAGCTGCCCAAATACCTTTTCACTTCCTTAGACATCTGTATCAAGTGTTCTTACCATTTAGTTTCTTCAACCTCCAGAGCCTCTGGTTCCTGCCCTACCTGCCCTGCCTGAAATAGCCAGATCGAAGGCTTTCTAATTTTCGAGTTCATCATATTAATACTTTGGTTTTTATTTTTTGCCTTCTAAGTAGAATTTGACATTGCTGACCATCTCCTCTTTCTGGACCATCTCTCCTTGCCTGACTTTGGTGATACTTCACCATCCTGGTCCCCCTGCCTCCCTCATGGCTTCTGACCCACTGGACTCCCTTCTGCTGCCTTACAAATAAGACACCCTTCACAGAACTGGCTTGGCCCCTTCATCTTTCTAAATTCTCTCTAGCAGTACTATCTAGCCTCAAGGCTTTGGCTATGGTATTATAGGAACATCTCCCAAATCTTTAGGTCTTATCCCTGTTTATTTTCCAGCTTATCCTTCTGGGCATGTCAATCTGAAAACTTTTGGAGTCTTCACTCAGGAGAGAGGTATTGACTGAAGTAATTACCTCTCCCACCCCAGCTTAAACTTTCTTCACTTTTTAGAGTTTCTATTTGTATTAAAGGTATTACCAACAAAGGCATTCGAGGTAAGAATCTAAGTCATCTTCATTTCCACCCTCACTCTCAACCTGTATTTTTCTTGCTAAACCTTACTGATGTCATTTCTGAAATGTTTTGGGTACCTGGGTCCCATCTACTTCATTCTCATTACTCTAGTCAAGTTTTTATCTCATGTCTAGAAAATATAATCCATTCAATACTAGTATTCCCATGTCTAATTTTTCCTTCAATTGATTGCTTCTCTTGCTTAAAAAGGGAAGAGGTACTAGACTCCATAATAGAAGAGGTTTATTGAACTCGGCAGTGATAGTTATTACTTCCTAGGATGGAGAAGAATGATTTACATCAGTGGTTCTCAAAATTGAATGTATATCAGAATCATCTGGAGAACCTGCAAACAGATTGATGGGCCTCACTTCAGTTTCTGATTTAGTAGGTCTGGGCAGGGCGTGAGTGTTTGTATTTCTAATAAGTTCCAGGTGATGCTGTTGCTGCTGACTTGGAGGACACACTTGAGACCACTGATTAGGAATACAGGAAAAGAATGATCAGACTTTGAGCCATTTATTTTCTAGTAAACACTAAGAATACTTATTAGTATACAGGCATACCTTAGAGATATTGCAGGTTCAGTTCCAAACCTCTGAAATAAAGTGAGTAGTCTCTTTGCTGATGGAGGGTCTTGCCTTCAATTTGTAAAAACATGCAACTCTAGTGCAATAAAGCGAAGCACAATAAAATGAGATACACCTATAAAAGGTTTCTTTTATCATGTAGCTTTTGTCATTTTTATAGTATTTTAATCTCTTTCCTATTTCCCTATAACATTCATCTCCAAGCCCCCTACAGTCTTAGAAGGACTCTCATTTGTTTAACAAATATATATTGAGAGCTAATTTATACTACCATGAGTTAGATGATATAAGAGCTACGAACAAAATGATATTTTGTTGTAGTGTCTGGGGCACCTTCAGGGTTTATGACTCTGGAGACAGATCTGGAAGAATGAGTAGGGCAAAAGCATCAAGATATGGAAGTCCAAGGGGTGGTCAGGAAATTGAGGGTAGTTCCTGTGGTAGCACAGGGTGGGGTAAGCCCTGAAACACTTCACTTTTTGGAAGCTCTTAGTTTTTTAAAAAGTGAAGAAATCTCAAACACTATTATGAAAATTGTGGTCACTTTAAACAGCTTACATTAACAAAGTAACACTTTCCAACACATACAGGACTCAGGGTATAACTCATTTGGAAATAATGTCAACCTTTACATACGAGGCCCTTTATGAAAGAGAAGGTACTGCTGTGTGCCAGTGAAGATCTGAGTTCATTTCCAGGTCTGGAATATGTAGAAACTATATACATAACAGTGGGCTCGGAGAGAGGAAAATTGAATTAGCAATAATCACACCTGGGATAAACCTCATTGGCTATGATACTGCCACTGCGCAAAGCTAGCAGAGAGGAAAACTTGATGCAGAAGAAACATTTATGTGAAATCAGTAAGTATCCCTAGAATTCCTCTGAACTTTCCTGGGAGTGTCCTGGACTTTCTTATCTCTGCCTTTGCCCTTGTTTTTTCTTTTGCCTGAATATTCTGCCTGCCAATCACTGTTTATTTAGTTTCCAAAAGTGGCTCATTGTCTTCTCTGTAAATGGATCCCTGATTACCCAAATCAGATTTTTCCTCATAGAGTTGAACTCTTCTTTTTCACATTTAAGACAGTTCGGTTCTTTCACTCAATGAGCTGTTATTATTTCTGCTTTGCAGTGTAGTTAATTGTGTGTCCGCTTTAAGTATGTTAAAAGTTAGGAGCTGTGTTTTGGGGTCTTCTTCCTTAAATGAAAAATTTAAATTTACTTATTAACTTTTAGGGGGTACTTTTATGATGACATATTTCAGATTTTTAGTGTGTCTTTAAAAAAAATTTCCTACCCTGTGGTACCTACAGTAATGAGTTAAGTGCTCAATAAATGTCAATGAAATCTATTCCTTCAACAAATTAATTAAAGAAATTTCTTGTGAGTCAGGCACTGTTTTAGGAACTGGGATATGGATCGTCTTTATAATTCTTGTGGTGAGAAACATTATATATACACGTATACACACACATACACACATGCATATAAGTATATAAAAGAGAGTGATGAGTCTGGAGGAAAAAAATAAAGCAAGAAGGTGGCAGGTAGGAGGAGAAGGAAGAGATATGTTGCCATTTTAAATAGGGTGATCATGAAAGGCTTCACTGAGAGACAGTTGAGCAAACATCTGAAAGAGTTGAGGGAGTGGGATGTATCTGAAGAAAGAGCTTTTCAGATGTGGGGGGGGGGCGGGGGGGGGAGGAGGAAGTCCAAAAACACTGAGGCCAGAATGACTGAA